GTCAGATCGGGTAGACAAAAAGAAAACCCAAACTGTTAATGCAATTATATGGAGCCTCTGATATACATCAGGAGAAATTCTTTAAAAACTGAACTTTGACGATGAGTGGGAGAGTCTTCCAAAGTCCAGATACAAGGAAAAATTAACAAACAGTTCCCCACCTCTGTATCATTCTCTTTTAAAAATTGAAAAGAGTAAATTTCAGGATTTGAGAGACAAAAACAGGAGGATAGTGAGAGATGATCATTCCCAGGGTAAAGAAGTTCGATACAAATCAAATTCTCAACCCATCCACCCCCACCCCCCATATACACCCCACGGAAAAAAAGGTCATAGACATACACACATGTGGAGAAAGAAAGATAGAAAGAAAGATAGAAAGAAAGAGAGAGAGAGAGCACAAATAAAGAAGTATGATTTCATAAATTACATACAATATTCTATTCATGTAGAAGAACAGATGTTTATAGTGGTAAAATAAAGAACAGCCATCTGTTTCACTCAGTCTGTTAATTTCATACTGTTTTAAATTGGTCTTTTAAAATCTTTTTTAAAAAATAACAGTTTTGCATGATTTCATGCATTTTTAAATATACCAGGGCCTTTAACAAGAGAAAACACACTGCCTAGTAGCCGTGAATACAACACGTCATTTCATAAAGCCCACAGATGAAATCATGAATTCACGACCGCATCAGGCGAGATTCGAAATTGAAAATCGGGAATCCCACTTTTAAAAAAAAATTACCAACAACGGTAAAAAATGTACTTCAATATTATTTCTTTAAGGATAGGTTTGTCCATTTACTTTGTCTTGAACGCCAAATGAGGGAGAAAATCAGTTTTTTCCCTCTCCTGTAAAATTTGCTTCATGTGGAATTCACCGTTTCGTCAGGCGACCGACAATTTTCTGTTAATCAACATGGGACAACTCAAACTTTATACAATAACCATCAATCAACAACACTGTAGCAGAGACAACATGTTACAGAGCAAATTAAACATCATTAATTAATGAAAAACAGATCACACTTTTAGTTATGCTGAGTTTAACATTATGTAACAAAAGGTAAGGACACTCTGAGAACGTTTTGTCTGCTATGAAAATTGCAAAAGTTTTTGCTTCAGCAAGTAAAATCCGGAAAAGAAATTTTTGCAAAACAAGATGATCTGCTTGCTGGAAAGATCAAGATGCTGGGCAGTCTGCCCTTACATCGTTGCAAATACAAGAAACTGTTTATATGCTTGCGTCTTAAGACCAAATGTGCTGATATTTTGAGTAGATTCAAGAAACATTTGTATGCAGATCCTCCTTGAGTATCATACAGAGAAGATATGAAATGGAAAAAAAAATCTGAATGTAGCAAACAGTTGATCACACAGAGCGAGTTTGAAAGTCACTGAGAAAGAAACTTCTCAAGACAATCAGACTTACTCGAGCACTGTACTTGAGTAGAAAATACTTATATGGCAGAGATGTCACAGCAAATGAAATTGGCATCATCATCTACAGAAATCACTTTAGTCAGATGAGTGCCATATATTCAATACTCTGGTCAACATTTGTTCAGAGGGAAATATTGTATTCATGAATATAGGAATTTGGCAGAACATTAAGTTGTTTAGTAGTTCAAACATACTAGAAGCCTTTTGATCCATTTTGAAACGATTAATGCTTCTCAGGGGAATAGCTGTGACTTTGTATCTCCCTCACTGAAAAGCAATGCTTTGGAGACAAATAAGCCTCTTGTTGCCTGCGACACATCATCATACATTTGAGTCAACGCCCTACAGTTTGATGACAACAGCATGGCTAATGTTCTCCTTTTTAAAGACATTTCTATTTTTCTGTACTCTATGATTTATTTCCATTTTGCCACAACAACAAAAATGTACAGGAATACCGCTGACCTACAGAGGATAGGGGCAATGATGAAAAATGAATCTAAATCACATTTTATGTCGCTCTGCTCTATATCAACTGGGAGGTGAGGGGGGGGAAACATCTTGTTGATTTGTATTTTCAGCTGCAAAGAGGTAAGATGTATTTATAAAAGTGATGACAATTTATGCCACATGTAATAGATAGCGACGATATTTGGACATAAAACAAATATGGCAATTATATGTTGAAACTCTCTCAAGAGCAAAATCTGTCCAGCAGGGAGACATGTACAAAAACAAGACAACAGTCGAGTAGGACTGCTCAGTCAGTACAGCAGGGGAAAAGCCAAGAACAGACGGTGCAAAGGAGGCAACATAATGCAGAGTACCTTCAATATTGGCAATTATCAGTCGAACAATACTAATACATCACGTTTGAAAATGAGTCATCTTCATAATTGTAACGTGACGTGGTGGAATCAGGAGCTAGTCGATTTTTGGACATATAGAGTTATTGGTATCATCATGAAACTTGTTCCCTTGTCTTACTTTTGAAGAAAAAAAAATACTCATCCATCTTGAATATAAGTCGAGAAATTTGCAATTGAAGGAGATGGGGATCACCTGATTTAAGAGGTAAAATTAGTGAGAAAATGGCTGTCAAAGTTTGATTACTTCCATAGCTTGAGAGTCCTCGGAAACTGAAAAATATATATTTTTTGTTCCTATAATCAACATTTTTCAGTAAAATCCACAAAGAAATGTGTTTTCAAATGGACATACACAGTGTAGAGCCAAAAAAGAAATATTAAATGAAATTGCCAAACTGAAAGAAAAATGCTGGTTTCTTCGATTTTACAATTTTGACAAGTGCCTGATTTCACCACGATGCCTCGTAATTTCATACTGCTGTTAATATTTTTGCCACGAGGAGGAAACGAATGTTCCAAATTCCTTCCTGGTACGGGATATCCAACATGGCCTTCATACTCATCTCAAAATGCTGACTGCACCATCTGTCCTTTCCCAAAGCCAAGGAAGTTGGAGAAGAGAGAAGCAAAGTCGGGGGAACAAAAGAAAGCCATCCTAATATGCTTGAGAAGTTACGCTTTCCTCCGTCCTGTGCCAACGACAATGTACATAGCCTGCCACAATGCTTTCTAGAAACGCTCTTTTGTCCTGAATAATTACACCCACACAAGAGGTACCAGTAGTCCTGACTCTGACTAGTGCTTGGTTATGCTTACAGTGAATTGGTAGGGGAGGGGGGGGGGAGTGAAACAGAGAAGCATTAATGTAAAAAAAAATAATGATGGTGATGTGTTTTATGCTGCCATGCTAGTACGAAATAGTGTGTACCAAAACAAACTGATGAAAAACATACACACTTTTTCTTTCAAGATTTTAAAGCATTTGTGTTCGGAAAAGGCTTCACTTATCACAACAATCTCTCTACGTAAGCTTCAGTGACCAAGACAAAAACAAATAAAATTTGATTTTGTTTCAGAATGACAGATAGCTCAAAGACTGTAACGTATCAATTTGACATTAACTGCAAATAACACTGTTTAAACATCACATGGCATGAGGGGAAGTGACTGCATTCTAAACCAAAAAAACACATCTGTAACAACAAAGGCACACTTCTGTGAGCATCATTTTAGTAGAATCCTCTCTATTCTTGCTCAGTTGGATTCCTCTTAAATGATACCAATCAATTCCAAATTCTGAAAATATTTTACACAATGGAATATAAATATGTGAAGAAAAGATTAGCACGAACCTCCGCTTTTAAAAACTTGAGATATAGGACAAAACAACGAACGGATGAAATTTTCCTTCCAACTGGTATTTGAAAAACTTTGTGATGATAACAAATGGTTCCCTTGTGTGGACATAATTAAGTTGTATTTTTTTCTACATCTAATGGTATGTAGTCAAATCCTGATATTTGTGTAGATATACAAAGTATATAGTTGTAATGGAATTTCAAACTAGTGAATACAAGGTAATAAGTTGGGACGGGGTAGATAACGCAGATGAAAAAAAACCTACACGATTCTAAAACGGATAGAGTTTTGTTTACTATTATTCTTCACAAACACATTTACTCACTTGAAACCGGGCCACAGAGTAAATAACACTTTATCTCACACCTCAACAGCCCCCTTGCCCCCCCCCCCTCCCCTCCCTTCCCCCAAAAGATTAATTAAACTTTAAGGAAAAACCTCAGCACCCCCTGCCCCCCCCCCCCCCCCTTTCAAGATTCATCCAACTTTAAGAAAAATAACCCATTGATATGCTCCTGTCAGTCGTATCCATACACAGTTAATAGCATCACTCTCACAGTGAGGCAGTTGGAGGAACGGGGGTGGTGGTGGGGTGGAAGGTTTCTGCTAACTTTCCTACCAACCGCCGAGACACATTCAGCTGCTCTGATCAACACTTCCGCTCTGTTGATCTGCTTAAACTTTTTGTATAATCACTGACCAGTAATTTTATACCCTAGGTTATAAAATATTTGATATATGCTTTGGCTAAGAATGGAAGATCAGAATACAAAGTATAATTTCTCAAGAGCTATCAAATGGATTTTAATTTAAAACATGGATATCTTAGGAGTAAGATTTTGTTTTTGACAAATCACTGCCCCTCTCCCCAATGATGAAATATCCAAAGCTTAAATAACTCTTTTGATCCCTAAGTAACAGCACAGAGGTGTGTGTTCTCACAGTCCACTTGTACATGTATATACATGAGACAAAGCTGTAGCAAACAGAGCCACTTCCTAAAACAAAGGTTAATCAAATACACCTTTTAGTAAATATGTGCAAGTGCCCTGATCTTAGCTCCAAATTTTTCACAAGAGTTTTTTTTATATCCGCTGCACTGACCTCATAAATGGGACATAAAGTAAACGTACGTATAGACAGATTGTTCATTTTTATGTTACAAATAATTTTCAATGGCACAGAGTGTAATTCAAACAATTTGTCGAAAATCACTTCAAGCAAAGTACCACAAATCTTAAAACAGGATCTGAACAGGATTTAAAAGAGGATATGTCTCTTATTTGAATAAAATTATAAGGAGATTACAAGAAGTATTTTTCCTTCTTTTTGTTTTGAGGACTGCGTTTACACCTGACTCAGTTATCAGAGGAAAGCATATCATTTTCATAACACACTCTATCATATGTGAAACATACTACATACATTATATGCAAGGACAAGGTAACACTTTAAATATATATTTCAGTATATGTATATTATATGCTCTTTGCGAATAATCAAAGTTTACACCATATCATTGATGATGCCATCACGAGTGTTCAACAGTGCGCATGCGTATGGACAATGAGTGATGTAGACCAAGGTAAGGTACATTCCATGTGTACCACAAGACACTTTAATGGATATTCACAACGAACAGTCAACTATCTTTACACCATCATTTTGTTGGTAGTAGATATCTTTACGACCTCAACATAAGACAAATAGGTCCGGGTTAATAATGATCGACTATACATCCCTTTCATGAACCAGCATTCGTCACGGTAATTGTAATCCTACTTTGTAATACATCCCTTTCAGCTATCTTTTGAATCTGAAAATAATGCAATCGACTTCAGCATACTATACAGCATATTCTACATGAATAACTTTCATTTCACTGTACAGTTTATCATTATTATTATCATATTATTATTATGATATTATTATTATTATTATCATTCCGTATGAATATGTAGTGGAGGCAATATCACTGTAAACTTTCACAACAGTAATAGTGGGGAGCTCCTCTCTCCAACTGTTGTAGTTTTACGACGGATAAATACAATCACTTTTTTCTCCATCCGTAGTACTTTTGAGACGGATAAATACAATCACTTTTCTCTCCATCCGATGTAGTTTTTGCGACGGATAAATACAATCACTTTTCTCTCCATCCGTTGTAGTTTTTGCGACGGATAAATACAATCACTTTTCTCTCCATCCGTTGTAGTTTTTGCGACGGATAAATACAATCACTTTTCTCTCCATCCGTTGTAGTTTTTGCGACGGATAAATACAATCACGTTTATTAATGGCAGACTGAAGTTTACGATCAACAAGAGTAACAACGAGCCGCACAGAGTGGGCCAAAGTCTAAAAAACTATTTATAGCACAAGCCCGCCCCTCGATCAGGTGGTGCCGTCGGCATAGACTGATGTCCGACTGTTGCAGCGGTCAATTGCTGTCAACTGTAGGTACTGCTGCATGCCTGGCTCTGCAGGGACGGGCAGGGACTCCAGCGTTGGCAACGAGGTTGTGTCTGTGAAACCTGGAGGACACGAGAAGTGGCGATCATTAGAGAGAAACAAATAAATGGGAGACCGTGTGGGGAAATCAGGCACCCGTCGAAACAGTGAAATCACAGAAACATGCATTTTTCTGGGTGCCAAGAGCGAAAAGCTCACAGCTAAAGGGATTTGAAAACAACAAAAACAACAACATCTGGGTGTTGGGCAACTTTAAAAAATTCTTATGTTTTTGCCTCAACACCTTTTATGTCTTTATAAAAACATATTTCTGTGTGGATGTTACAGAAAAATGTTCATTAAAGGCACAAAAAATGAAAATTTCAAGTTTCCAAGGATAATTTTATCTTTCATATCAGCCAACCCCCTCCCCCTTCAATCGCAAATATCTCGACTTCTATTAAAAAAAGATGGGTATTCTATTTACCAAATGCAAGACAAATGAACAAGCTTTAAGATGCTACGAATAACTCCATATGCCTAAATATTGATGAGCGCCTGATTCCATTGCGTCGTGCCACAATTGGAGGTGAATTTTACAAAGTTTTTGTTGTTTGTTTTGGTAAGTGTTTTACGGCGCTTGCAACAGCATAAGGTCACATGAGCGCGTAGGACACATTAAACATTTTCAGTTGGTAGGAAATTTTGAATTTTGCAAGGGTGGCCGCCGAAGCCTACTCTTATAGATTTTAGACAGCAACTTGCACACAGGACCTCCAAGATTTTTCGCCCTTGTCCGAAAAGGCTAGGTGTAGATCTTTCCTACCAGAAGATCAGGGGTGAGACTGAAAGACAGCAGTAAGAAGGAGCCAAGGAGTAGCAGTAGAAAGGCTGCAGTAAGAGTCAGGAGCCCTGAGGAGGGGGCAAAGGAGTTAGGTGGAGACGAAAGCAGATGACAGAACATTTCTAGAGAGCAGGAAAGGAGGAGAAAGGAGAACATTTCAGAGAAGAAAATATTTCCATCGCTACTCGGATTCAAACCAGGGACCTTTGAATGAGAGGAAAACACCATAACCTCTGGGCCACGAGAGCCCCTGACGTATGTTTGCCAATCACTTTGGTACCTTGACTCCAAGAATAGCTAACTGGGAAAAAGTGTTGTTTTTTTAAGTTGAAGATGTTTTACACTCCTATAGGCACAAATTAGATTAATTAAGAGGCGGGCTATTTCGGCCTTGCCTGTCACGGCCAACCTTTTTCCCTACTGAAATTTTTTTCGAAGCACTTAAGAAGCTGCGTATGAAAAATAAAAATGTCACACTTTGAAAAATATTTTGTCAAAATATTCTCTTTTGAGTAAACACTAAGACACCACAGCACTGAGTCATGTTCATGAAATTACTACCAACACAAAAAGAAAAAAAAAAAACAATTCAAATTTACCAAAAAATTCCAAAATAAAGCACTTTTAAACCTCACAGTGGCAGTTCACACCACTAATGTTAAGAATAAGATCTCTTTGGTTCTTTCACAAAAAATTGATATGGTGTAATATACGGAAAAAACTAATTAACAAAACTAAAGGCACTGTTTTGAAACAACTTTTTTACATTTCAAAATAAAAGGTATTGAAGATTTATTTGCTCCATGTTCTCTCTCTTTTTTTTGTTTTTAAAATTAGAGACCTGAAATTGACCATTTTCCCCCCCATAAAGCTTTATTTTGAGCAACGCAACCCAGCATGCTACACACATGAAACCAAGATATTAACCACTTCCCTGCTGTATGGACGTGTATACTCACTTGTGGTCTCCCAAACTGGTTCACTGGCATTTATTTTACTGGTTTATTAAGCGTATTCTAGAAGGTGTATTTGAAATTTGTGAAGTCTTTTTCATTCTTAATAAGGGGAAATATGTTATGGCTTTGTTTAAATCTTTCTTGAATGAAAATTCATTATTCAATGTTTCATTGTTTCAGGAAGCAACATCCTTGCATTCCGGACACTTCCATTGATGCTCCGTTGCTCTCTCCAAAATGCTGCTGAGGGTCTTTCTACTGGTTGTGCAAGTGCATATCTGGTTGAACGTTCTTCTCTGAACAGCCATTAACGCTTTAGCACTGAAAGGATTAAACCAAAAACGTCAACGCAAAGCTAAAAGATGAAATAAATAGAGACTAAACAGGAGGAGGAGGAGGACCCCACAACTTGTGTGCCGACAAACATACCAGGTTGAGGCATCCCGTCCAGGGGCATGTTGAAGGAGTCTGGGTTGAAGTTCTGCATGCTGATCATCCTCTGGGCTTGCATGGCTCCCATGCGACAACTGTTGAAGCCGGTGTAGGCCTGGGGGTACTGAGGACGCAACTGCTGCTGCATGCTGGGAGTCATGTCTGGGGAGACGACAGAGAGTTAATTTTAGTAGAGGTTTTACGGCGCTCGCAACTGCATAAGGTCATATGAGCGCCAGAAGATTAGAGCTGTTACAAGAGAGTAACAAACGTCAAAAAGAAGAAGGGGAGATAAGGACGATAGATGTTCGACAGGAAAGAAGAAGCAAACCACACCAGAGCATCCGCCAACTGGTTCACTGGCATTTATTGTACTGGTTTATTAAGTGTATTCTAGAAGGTGTATTTGAAATTTGTGAAGTATTTTTCATTCTTAAAAAGGGGAAATACACATGAGACAAGAGAGAGGAGTTGGCAAGTGGTCATAAAAATAATAATTTTATTCGTAATAACATTGAGTTACAATCAGAATACTGAGTATGTATCTAGCTTAACGTTATTATTGTTTTTATTTTGCTGTCCATTCATATTATGCATGTAACTGTAAGCATACGTGTGTGTGCAAGTTTGTGTGTGTGTGTGTGTTTGTATGTGAGTGTGTTTGTGTGTGTGTGTGTGTGTGTGTGTGTGTGTGTATGTGTGTACATGGCGAAACATTAAACCAATGTGCAAGGATCTGGACAATAAAGATGTACATAGTATCTTACCCTATTATATAACAATATTAATAATAATACTAATAATAATACTACTACTACTACTACTACTACTACTACTACTACTACTACTACTACTACTA